TCTGTGTGGCATTAACGCCTGTAATGTCTGTTCCATAATGTCCTGAAGTTATCCATGCATCACATTCTGTGTGATTTCCTCTTTTCGGAGTCAAATGGTATTCTATTGCTTGTACCTGCCTCATTTTCCTTACCTCCCATCTGTGAGTGGACAGTCCAGTCATTTCCACTGCTGCCTGGTGTGAACAGTGCTCCAAATCTGGTTTCAAGTTTTTGGGTCTTTCCCTGGAAGTGGGGTTGCTGGTCCCACGGTAGTTGTGTCTTATTTTCTTATTGCTTTGTTTGGTTTTGGCTTTTGGTCCAGGGATTGAACTCAGGACCTTGTGCTTACCAGTCAGATGCAGCACCACTGAGCTACATCCCCAGCTCTTATTTTCTTATTTCCACAGCCCTGCCCCTGTGTGTTGCCTCAGCAATGAGGCATTCTGGGCCCCCACACTGCACCAGCACTGGGTGTCTCTGTGTTTTGGGACAGCCAGCCTGTGTGTGTCCAGTGTCCTCTGCATGTGGGTTTGTGGTGATTTGCATTTCCCTGAAATGTGCGCTGTTAACCATGTAGGCGTCTTCTTTGGAGAAATGTCAGTCCATTTCAACACCAAGTTCCTTGTTTGCTCGCCACTGAGCTGTCAGAGCTAGTCATGGGCTTTGGATATTAGCTCTTACCCAGTGACAGGGCTTGCACGCATTTCCTCTGTGGAGCAGGTTGGTTGTCTTCTTGCTGTCCTCACCCTTTGCTTCAGTCCCATTTGTTTATTTTTGTTTTGGTTTTGTTGTTTTGCTCTGTCTTTGCTGCCTATGTTTTTGATGTCATATCCATGAAACGCTGCCAAGATCACTTGGAACTTCCCCCTATGTTTTTATAGGCATTTTACAGTTTCAGAGCTGAAAAGGTTTAAGACTTCAGTGCCTTTCAAGTTGATCTCTGGGCACTGTGTAACAGTAAGGGTCCAGTTTCATTATTTTGCTTGTGGATATTCAATTTTCCCAGCACCATTTGTTGCAGAGCTGTGAATGCTTTCTCCATTGCGTGTTTTGGCAACCTCGTGGAATATCAGCTGACCACACATACATGGGCTTCTTTCTGGCTCTCTGTTCCGATCTTGGTCTGTATATGTCCATCTGTATCCAGTGGTAACTGTGGCTTTATTTTTATTTTGTTATTTTTTAAAACAAATCTGACTTTATTTTGGGGGGGTATACAGGATCGAACTTTTGGGGCCTTGTGTGTGTGAGGCAGGCAGTGGAACCATTGAGCTAAATCCCCAGCCCAAACTGTGGCTTTAGTATATTCTGACCTCAGGAAGTGTCAGCTTGGTTCTTTCCCAAGATTGATTGATTGCTGGTCTTTTATGTTTCCACATGAATTTTAGGATTGATTTTTCTATTTCTATAAAATCTACCATCAAGATTTTCATGGGGTATACTGTGAGTCTGTATATAGCTTTGGCAGTATGGATATTTTAGCAGTAGGAATCCTTGCATCTGAACACAGGATGTGTTTTGTGTTGTGTCGTGTTTTGCATACAAATATTCCTAGGTACTCTGTTCTTTTTAATAATGTCTTAGAAACTTGTTTTCCCAAGTTCCTTTCACACAGCGTGTTTGTTGAAATGCAGTAGATTTTGAATCCTGCTACTTTTTTAAATACTTTTTAATAGATTCCACATTTTTTAAAATAGCATCTTTAGGGTTTTCTGTATATAAGATAATGTTTCCTACCAACAGGGTTATTTTACTTATTCCTTTCCAACTCTGGTGCTCTGTCTTTCTTCCTCCTCCTTTTTCTCCTTCTTGCCTGTCTTTCCTTTCTTCGCGTGTTTCTCCAGGGTACCTAGTATTGTGTTGAGTGTGGAAAAGGCCATCCCTGCCTTGTTCTGGTGTTAGAAGAAAACTTTCCACCTATTTGCTGCTGGGTATAGTATTATCTGTGGGCATTTCGTGCATAGCCTTTATTATGTTAAGGTAACATCCTTCTATTCCAAGTTTAGTTAGAGTTTTTATCATGAAGGGTATGGAATTTTGTCCGAGGCTTTTTCTGTATCTATAAAACGATCACATGGCCGTGTCCTTTATTCTGTTACGAGTTTCTTGCATTAATTGACTTCCATATGTCGAGCTGCCCTGTCTCCTGGGAAGGACTCACTTGGTGCGGTGTGTGAGCCAGTGTCTGTGCTGCTGGACTGGGTTTGCTCCCCTTCTGCTGGCAGCTCTTCATCTGTATTCATCAGGGATACTGCCCCCAAGCTTCCTTTCTTGTTTGTTTGCTTTGTCGCCAGCGCTCCTCCCTCTTCGGTGTTCGGGAAGTTTGAGAAAGGCTGGCACACAACCTCCTTTCTTCAGAGCTGCGTGGTCTGGGACTCTGTTTGGCGAGAGCCTTTGATTATAGATCCTGTCCCTAGAGCAAGCCTTCATCATGTATTTTTCATTTTCACTTTTACAAATTGATATTTATGTTCTAAGGGAAAGAGAACACTACTTTAGAATAAATACTACTTTTATACTAAGTGTATCTTATTTTATTTTAATCTTGAGAGTCAATGTGTTTCAACAACCAGAATTGAGCTGTTACAGAAAATAACTGTGCTGTGGACTTTTGATTCTGTAATCCTGAGTTCAGGCTGATCTAAAACTTTTAAGTGGAAAATCAGGAATTTGAGTTCATTGATTCTGAAACTCTACATTGGTTTTTGCTGTAAAAATTGTTCTGTGGAGAATTTGGTTAGGATAAGGTTGAAAAAATTAACTCGAAAAGTTTCTCTGAATATTTTTATAAATTCCCTCTCTGCGTGATTGCAAGTAGAAACTCAGTGATGAGGAAATGTCCGCACGTTTACAGCAGGCGTTGCCCGTCATTTCTACATCCACAGGTGCCCACTGCAAATCCACCCGAGGACTACGAAACAAGGACAGAAAGCTGTGCATAGACAGTGCTAGGCGCCCTCATTACTAGTGGTGGTGTGGTCATCTTCCTGTGTCCGTCAGTATGACTTACAATAATGTGTAAGGCTGTGACCTAATGCATGGTACGCTGTGCTTGATTTCCCTATTTCCTTACTACTTTCCTGCTAAGTCTGGAGTTTCTGTAATCGTGCCTCAGCCTTTGTTCATCTCCCAACCATCTTCATTCGTTCGTAAGTGTCTTGGTTGCTGTGATCCTGATGTTGTGTTCTGGATGGAAGGTCAAGGGCCTCATCACCCAACAGTGACGTCTTCCCTTTCTTCCACAGGAGTCTTTCCTGTTTTGTTTGTTTGTTTGTTTTTTGTTTTTTGACGCAGGGTCTCACTATGTAGTTGAGACTGATCTGGAACTCACTATGTAGCCCAGGCTGGTCTCGAACTCACAGCGATCCTCCTGCCTCAGCCTCCCGAGTGCTGGGATTACAGGCGTGCGCCACCACGCCCGGCTTTTGAGTCTTTCCTATTTTGAAAGATATAGGTTTATTTCCTAGAGAAGAGCAGAAAAAGGTGTCAGTGCAGAGTGTCTTGAGGATATATAGTGTTCTGTTTGCTGTACGTTACTAGGAGAGTGTAAGGTACATGGCACTTGAGTGTAGAAATGCTGTTAGATATGAGTGGAAGAGCATTCTTACCAACATAAAGACCTTGACTGGCAGTTACAGCATGCCTGCTGCAGTGGGCCGTTTGTACCATTGAAAGCTCTAAAGGTTCACCATTGCGGTCCTAACCACTTTCTTAGGAGATAACTAAAACAAGGAAATGCCTGTTTGAAAGCTACATCCTACCTTGTACATGGAGGTAAAAACACTGAGCACAATACGTCCTGATTACCAGACAGTGAATATGGCTGTGCAGTCAGAGCGGCTTCCTCATTAACCCGTGTGCTTTCACAGACCTCATAGGCTTCTTGCGTCCTGCCAAGTGCATGAGGCCAAAGTCAGTGCTTTTCCTGCACTTCACTTTCTTAAAAGATACGCACTGAGCCTTTGGATTGTAAGTCGAATTACTCCTTAGAAGCATCTGCTAAAATGCATACTGGAAGATGGGTCTCAAGCAGGGGGCTCCTCTCCATGGACAGCATCAGCCAGGGCCAAAATCGAGGCCAGAAAGTGAGGCCGTCTCTGTGCCCTGCTCGGTTTGTGTGAAGAGGCAGAGCAGAATGGAAGCTTTGGCTTGGGCAGTTTGCGGGACTTGGGCGTCCTGGTGGGGAAGGGAAGAAGGGCGGTGCATGGGTGCTGGGCTGGCAGGGCTCGGGACTGCCCTGAACTCCGGACTCCCCAGATCTTTGCAACAGCCTCTTAAAATGCTATTGAGATATAACTTTCCTACCTGTTTAATTTACTCACCCATTTAAAGTTTATAATTAAGTGGCTTTTGTATGGAATAAAATTTTTAAACAAATTATTTCAATAGGAAAGAAGTAATACTTCTGTTCTTAAGAATTATAATTACCACACTGGTGCTGTGTGCCAGCACCTTCCGGGCACCGTCTCTGGGTGCAGGCATTTCAGTATCACGATGACCCCACGCTTGGGGCAGGAGCCGTGGTCCCCAGTACACACAGGAGGTGACACCCAGAGGGGTGCAGCTGAGAGCACAGCAGCAGGTGCCCTCCCGGTGACAGTGGGTGATGAGACCCTGTGCAGTGCTCGTCTCTTCAAAGCCAGGTCCCTGACACGGCTCCTTGGAGGACCTCGTTCTGCAAGTTCAAGCGTTGCACGTTCCCTAAAATTGTGTTTTGAAACGTGGTCATTTTTCTCTTGACCTAGTTTATAGTATTTAAGTAAAAACTACTGTATGGTTTTTTAAAAATGTTTGTATCTTCATCATGTCTCCATTTTCAACACATTCTTTAAAGGTGGTCTCTTCCGTTGCCTGCCTTTCTAGTTGGTGCCCTCACGGAGTGGACGCCACGTGTGCCGCGGTGCCCAGGTCTGGCCTGCACCCTGCCGGAGCCGGGGGTGTGTCCGCCGTCCTAACGTGTGGGCCCCTGGACACAGCCCAGCAGCTGAAGTGTTTCTTTTATTGTTTGTTTTCTTTCAGCAACACGGCCACTTAGCATGTCTCACAGTTTTGACTTGTCAGGTAACAAAGCACCCTCACACCTGACATCGTGGTTTGTGACGCACATTTCATGCATCTGCTTGCTCAGACTGTCAGAAAGAAAATAGAAAGGCTTTCTTCTCACTATGGTCAGTGAGCAAAAGCAGTACCACTTTGTTTGTTTGTTTGTTTGTTTAGAGACAGGACCTTGCTACATAGTTAAGGTTGGCTTGGAACTCATAGCGATCCTCCTGCCTCATCCTCCTGCGTAGGGCATCAAGCGTGCACAGCCACACCTGACTTGAGAGCAGTATGCTTAAAATAATGAGAACTCAGGGAGCCACAGCCTCCCGATGGGGAGAGAGCCATGCTAGGCCCGTGCACCGTGGGCGGCCATCCTTTGCTCACGTGCCTTCACCATGAGAGCCTGGGGAAGCCTGAAAGGAGGTTTTGAAACATCTTCTCCAAAACCTCCAGTTGTCTAAGGACCTAAACTTAAAGCAGTAGCTGCAGCCCCATGGAGCTGCAGTGCCATGGAGCGCACCCAGCCTTGGTGCACAGCTGTGTGCCCGGGACGGCAGCACGGCTCACACCCACCACATGTAACACACAGGCTCCGCGGTGAAAGAGAGGAGTCGCTACAGCTGACTAGGTTTGTTCTGTGCAATCAGCCCACTTTTTAAAATAACAGTTTCAGTATATGCAGACTTTCAAAGCCTAAGTCACTCCAACAAAATATTTTGCAAGTTAAAACTTTTAATTTCAGAAGCCTCTGTTTTAAAGGTAAGATGAAGTAGGCTGTTGGTACGATTTTCTCCCAAGTTTTTAACTGCATGAACCCTCTTAGGTTACAGTGGCTCATTGCATGCCGTCTGTGCAGATTTAGAACCAGAGCAAGCTGGGCATGGCAGCACACACCTGTAAGCCAATTTCTGGGAGGCTGAGGCGGGAGCAAGTTTGAGGCCAGCCTCAGGAACTTAGCGAAATCCTATTCAAAATAAAAAGGGCAAGGGATGTACCTCACTAGTAGAGTAACCCTAGGTTCAATCCCGGTACTGTTTTTTAAAAAAGAAGGCAGAGTTCTATTATCGTTTTGTGTTTTGAATATTTACTCACTGTCTTCCAACTACAGAACTAGTTCCTATTTTTAAAATTTCCTTTTATTTGTGTAGGTCTCAGGCATGACTAACATTTTAGTCTTTGCTTGCTATTTCTGACTGACCACTCAGAGCCTTCTCCATTTTCTTTACCATATTTGGCTATTTTTATTTATTTTATCAATCCTCTGCAGAGAGACCCTGTAAAAATTTGGTCTGGCACCAAACCCAGAAGTGCTGTGGGACACACACACCACTCCTCGTCCCGAGTCAACCACGCACACTCAGACATGTCTCCCAGCACGCCGAGGAGCTGGTGCAGTTGACCTGCAGCCCTCAGGACGGCACCCACACCCACTCGCAGGCACACGCCAGGCTCTGCGTGTGAAGAGGGCTCCTGCCACGCACATGCTTGACTTCAAAGGGGATCAGAGAACCTTGGCTTCGCTGCTTCTCATTTGCTGCAATTTATTTTGCGCCTTAATGTACTTTGTGATATCCTAGTGTTTCGTTCTCAGTTTATTGTGCTTTCTGTGTTTGTTGTTGTTGTTGTGCTCTGAATGTTAATGAAAATATCCCAAATTATAAACGTAAAGGGTTAGCCCACTCTTCTGACTTGAAGATCGGCGTGCATTTTCTGAGTTGGAAAATGAGTAAACCAAGGAATAAACATTTCAAACATGTAGTTGAGATGCTGCTAAGCTTAAACCAGAGGGAGGCATGACGAGGCAGCCTCCTGCTCAGGCATATCGTTCAAGTACCTTTTCATGGTGAAAATGCTCACAGTCCGCTTCACATCAAGGTAAGTCTAACCTATTGTTCCTGTGCCAATATTAAATACACTGTCTGGGTGCTGGCCACACGGCCTCCAGCCGAGTAAGGCAGCACACCCACAGCTACTGAAGCATTTAATACGGGTGTGCGTGTTGCATTCTCAACCTCAGGGATTTCTAAAGCCATATCTAAATATTTCTCATCTTGCACATTGTATTTACATGTAAACATCACCAATTTTTCTTAAGAAATGCTGTCTTATATAGAAGAAACACAAAGTTAAATTCATGTGCTTGATTCTATTACATTAAAGTAATAGAATTTAGGGCCAGGGATTTAGCTCAGTGGTGCCGCCACCTGCCTTGCAAGCACAGGGTCCCAAGTTTGATCCCTGGTACCAAAAACAAAAATTAATTTTAACAGAAAATGTAAGTAATCAAATGCCATCAAAACATGATCAGCCAAGTCCTTCATCAATAGGCAGATGTGATGGAGCTGCCCCGCCTTGTGAGCGCACCCCAAAGCCTGTCACTGTTTATTCTCCCCTCACAGCTCTGCCTCCCTCCGGGTGTCCAGTTCCTGAGCCGAAATGCAGGTGCCTGCACGGTGGGACGCCTGCCACCCTCAGGCCCCCGAGCTGCCTGGCCTGTCGCTCCCCGCTCAGTGACTTGCGCCGTAACATCCGTGGGTCTCAGATCTGACCTGACGGTTACTCTGTCTGTGCACTGTGGCATAAACATAACCACGAGTGAGCAAGCACGGCTCGGTCCTCTGCCCTCAGTGGCGTGAGAGCAGACGGGAATGCGCACTCCAGGGAAGGTGCAGGCGCGTGGTGTTACACATTTTATAGCCAGGCCAGCAGCCCACGGAAATGCAGAGCAAAGGGTAGTGTAGCCCCGACTGTTCAGAAACGTGCTCTCTGAGGACCACGTCTGCATCCCTGCTACCTTTTTTTAAAAATAGGAATTAATTAGCCTGTTCATCTGCTCTTTTGCTTCCTAAAAAACTTAAAATACTTCTCCCTCCATTTCCTTATGAAAGATTTATTGAATAATTTTAGCCTTTATAATTTGTATAAAACCTTTTGTTTTTCCCTTTCAAGACCTTCCCTACCACCACTTGTTTGTTTATTCTAGCACCTTAATCTCTGGGCGTGTAGTAACAAAATGAGTACATAGGCCTGGGCTTTAGCTCAGTGGTGCTACACCTGCCTCACAAGTGCAAGGTCCTGAGTTCAATCCCCGGTACCAAAAGAAAAACAATACCGAAAGGGATAAATGATTGATCGCTCTGTCTCCTGCCTCTCTGCCTGTCCTAGCTTGTCCAGGTCCCTCCCTCGAGTTGAGAAAGGTTTGTCTTCTAGCATTCTCAATCCCTACAAATAAGCAGGAGTTGAAAACGTTTTGTCCGTTGAGTCCGTTGCCTACCGACAAGGAACAGCTCCAGGGGGAGCTAAGTGGCCCTCATGCCAGCTGTCCTGGGCCTCGCACTGGGGAGCATCGGTTTGGAGGAGGAGAGCACCCCTGCAGCAGGCAGTGCCAGGGTTCTCGGTCCCGAGCACAGAGTCCCTGAGAGCAGCCCCTCTGCCGCCGGAGCTCAGCTACACAGGGCTTCTCCTCACCTTCCCGGGCTCTGCTTTTGTAGCTCACTCTTAGACCCCGGCTGTGGATAAGTCCCCACTTGAAATGCTGCAGAGCCCTCCCGGCATGGGGTCCCAGCTCAGACCCCCGACCTGAGCTGCCCATGCCCATCCTCCCGGTGCTCCCAGTGCAGCTGCAGCTGCAGCCCACGTGGGCCGAGCAGGGAGAGTGGATCTGAGCTCGCTCGGTCAGGCGCCTCTCAGCAAGCCGTGTCTGGTTCCCTGCCCCTTGCTGTCTCGCCTGCCCATCTAGACATGAGCTGTGGTGCCATGGGAATGCACCCATATTGTGTTCACAGAAGTGTCGTGCGTGCTCTGTGTCTGTGTTCCCACGAAACACTTCCATGAGTACGGATGGCCTGGCGAGGCTCAGTGTGCACCTCTTCCTCCACTTCCCCTGCTCCTTTGAGGCCAAAGCAGGAAGCCGGCTTCCCTGTGCCTCATTTTCCTCACATGGAAACTAAAGTCGGAGTCCATTAACCACAGGATTTACAAACGTGAAGCCAGAGTCATTCGTTTAAGCTTCCTTCGGCAGCCAGCTGCAGCTGTGCTGGATGGTGTGGTGGGCATGCAGACCCTCGGCCTCCGGCCTGTGGGACGGCCAGGGCACCCACCCTGCACCGTCCCTTTCCTGGCTCAAGTCAGGGTCAGCTTCCACCTTTCTCTCCACAGATGTGACCACGCCAGAATCTCCAAAGGGCCTCCGAGAGCCGTCACAGGTGAACGGGGACTCACTGTCACCTGCAGAGCCCGGGAGGAGCGGGCCGAGCCCCACTGGGCTGGCGCCTGTGGTGCGGAAGAGGCTCCTCAAGGCTCCGACGCTGGCCGAGCTGGACGGCTCTGACTCCGAGGTGAGGCCTCCATGAGCAGGCCCGGGGCTGGCACGGGGTGGGGGCTGCGGTGCCACCGACACAGGGGTGTGGCTCGTAGAGTGTGCAAGGTGGATCTGCATGGTCGTGGATTATAAGCAGGGTTTAGATAAGGCAACAATTGCCAAATTTATGTCCTTTTTATATTGGGAAGGAAAAAGTAGTGGAGCAGAACCATTCTGTAGTGTCCCCTCGCCTGGGCATGTTCTCGAGGTTGCTCTCCCCACGACGCAACACAAACCCAAACGCTGGCAGGTGATCCTGCGTGGAAGGTGGGGGGGCCTCTCCCAGGACCCCTCTCCAGCACCCCTGTGGGCTGAGGCTCCCGCTCCTCCAGCACCCGTGCTGGCTGTGTCCACGATGCTGGTTCTCCACTGCCGCTGCTCAAAAAGGCTTTGTAAAGTGAAATCATCTTCCTTGTCCCACACACGTATGCACCTGTGCACACACACATAGACGCACAGAATTCACCAAGTTCGGACTTGAGGAGCTGCTTTCCGATTCACTGGGGCTCCACCTTGACCAAGCAGCACCGTCTTGACAGTCCTGCTGCTGAAGGCTTTCGGGCACTGGTGAGAAAGAGCAGTGTCCTCACCCGTCCGGCTTACCCATGTCTTCCTGGCTTCCCGTCTGGTGCGGGACGGGGCTTTCTAACTCTTCCGGCCCAAGTTTGTGGCCTAATCAGGGAGCGCACAGCGCTCCTCCGCGGGGCTGCGTGTTCCACATGGCCCTGTTTCCCTGGAGCTGCACTGCATGCACCCAGCTGTCACTTGCCCAGTGCTGTGTGCTGACACTGGCCCCCTGTCCCAACCTGTACGCAGCTCTGGACACACACGGTTTTTGTCTGTTTACACCTCTCTTTGGGACACCATTTTGCTAGAACTAAGTATACTTTTTACATAACAAAATATGCGCATTGTCCAAGCCTGTGCCAACCCTTTGAATAATTTCTGTATTTTAGTTACATAGTTCTTTTCTGAACATCTGGATTGTTTCCAGTTTTCTGCCATTACAACCAATAATAGTGCTGAGATCATTCTGTTTCTGTTTTTTTTGTTTTTGGTACTGGGCACCAAACTCAACCTTGCACTAGCCAGATATCTAGGCAGGGCACCACTGAGCTATATCCCCCACCCTATCCTGTTACTTTTTTGCATTGAGTCATTTCTTAAAATATTTCTAACTGCACTTGCTAGGTGAGACAATGAATATTTTTATGGCTTTTGATATATATTGCCAAGTTCCAGATTTTTACTGTGCTAACTCTGGTTTAGACATTAGATGTTAATTTATTCACCTTCACAAAGATATGAGAAGGGGACTGTGGTCCTCATGTGAAGAAGAGGGCCAGAGATGTAGCTCTGGTGCCACGCCTGCCTCACAAGCTCAAGATCCTAAGTTTGATCCCTGGTACAAAAAGAAGGGAAAAGAGGGGTACTTGTGCTAGGTGTGGTGGCACAGGGCTGTAGTCCTGGCTCCTTGGTAGGCTGAGGCAGAAGAAAGTTTGAGTCAACTGGCGTAACTTACTGAGACCCTGTCTCAGAACATATCGGGCTGGGGATGCAGCTCAGTGCAAAGGCCCTGGGTTAACCTTAGAACTACAGAAGAAAAGAAACGTTTTAAACTTTTGAAAATAAGGACACCAGTTTCTTTCCTGATCATATAAATCTTTAATTTTTTGTACTGGGGATCGAACTATTTAATCTTTTAATATAAGAAGGAAGCAGAAACAGAATAATAGAGTAAGAGCAAGTGGCAAAGTTAGGTATGGAACCCACATCTGACTCTGCAGCCTGTGTGTCATGAATTGCTGGTGTTTCCGGCAGCACTGTGTGAGAATGCCAGGTCTTAAAACAGAAGCATCTTTACTTTTCAGAGAGAAACCCAGCCCCAGTAGAGGTGGAGCCCAGGCTGTAAATGTGTGGCCCCCTTTGGATCAGACCTTTGCCCCAACCCTGGCCAGTTCTGGAACCATGGCCACGGGGTGCAGCCTGGCTTGGGGGCTTCTCTCAGCCCACAGTCAGCGCCTCTGGGACTGCACCACCCCGGTCTCCTTCCAGGAATAGGAAGTGAGCAGAGGGCCCAGGAAGAAATGCCAGCGACAGTGCCCTCCTGCAGCCTGGGCAGAGGGAACTGTTCTGGAGCTTCTCTCCTAGAGTCTTTAGGAGGCAAGATCAAAACCTGGAGTGCCGCTGCCGAGTGCCACCAGGGCAAGTGCAGCTCCTAAAACCATGACCTTGCATCCTCAGCCACCTGATTCGCCGGATCTGGCACCATGTGGCTTCCAGCCCTTCCCCAAAGTCAACATGGCCATGAAAGGGAAACGTTTTGAATCCATTCAGGACATGAGGCAGCCAGGACAGTGCAGCTAAAGGCTCAGGAAAGTGACTCCAGAGCTGCTGCGGAAAGCGGCAGGGATGTTGGGATGAGTGTTGGAAGCACGAGGGAGGATTTTGAGAGCAACACGATGTGTCTGCACTAACTGGAACATCCACGGTATCTGTGGGTCGCACCTCCCAATTGCTCTGAGTCCGGGATACTGGTTGGCACCTCCGCTGTTTTGGGGTGCAGTGTGTTGCTAATGGCAGTGCTAACGCACCCCCAGGAAGAAGCCCCGCGCAAGTCCAGCAGCAGCAGCAGCAGTGTGTCTCCTTCCCAGCTTGAGGACCCCGTCCTGGAGGCCGCGTGCACAAGGAAGAGTGAGTACCCACGTGCGGAGATCTCGGGTCACACACCACGCCACGGTCCTCTAGTGCTGCACTGGGTAAGAGCAGAGACTCAGGTGTCCCCGGACAGCAGCCCTGGGCACTCACCTGAGGCCACACACCTGCATCTCAGAGAACATGCCCTGTGCAGACACTGTCAGAGCCCCATCCCAGCATGCTTACAGCTGTACAGGCAGTGGATTCTGAACACAGGTTCCTGAAACCCGTGGATCTCCGAAGGCTTTTGGTAACCGTCTTCTCTTACAAGATCATTATGAAGGATTAAAAATGTTAAGATATTCTTAAGCAGAGTCTCAATTTCACACACACCGGAGATTTTAGTGGATCACATTCTTTTAAGTGACATTTCAGTTGCTTACACAGAGCATATCGTGTTCTTGGTTAGGAACTGGGCTTTGTTACCTATGGCTGGTGTTTGGCCAGGCCCACTAGAGAGCACCGGGGCCCAGTTAACCCCGCAATAGATTCTGTGTCTCCTTGACGGAAATGATGTTCTTTGCTTTCCTGGGGTGGTCTAGTTCCCCCGAACTCTGGGGGCTCTTTCGTCCCCCACTGTGTTGAAGCTGCCTTGCTTTTTGCAAATAGAGTAGGAAGGAAATTCAAGGAAGCCTGAGGCAGCATAATCCATTTCTGATGTTCTTATGTTTTCAAAAGGTGAATCCAGAATCAGGTGAATCTAAAGGTGAATCCAGACTAGAGAGTCTCCTTTCAAACACTGTCCCAAAATACTGCTGGGTGGAAGAAAACAGTGGTACAATATGAATATCAATACGGAAAGCTTTTCACAGTTTTAGTATAGCTTAATTTAAGCCTAAGGACAAACTGTCTTAAACATATAGAAAGTAGAATGCCCATATTTTACCTTTATGAAGTAGAATGTAAAAAGGTACGCTAGAGAACTTTGGTACGCTCTGGAAGTCTTCTCAGTTATACAGAATGCAGTAATACCTCAGTTCACAGCTGCTTCTTTTCATGAACAGTTCAGTTCACTAACAGTAGCATTTGGCAAAATTTTGCTTCCCTTCCCGAACTCCACATTGGGTGCCAAACATGACCATGACCCTCTTCCCCAGAATCATGGAATGGTTAAGTTTGTGAACTGAGGCACCACCGTATATATTGTCACACGTTTTTAAAGTAATGCCCTAGACCTTGTCAGATTCTGTAGGAAGTAACCTGAGGCCTTGTAGGTCCCGGTCTGAGCTGTGCGTGGCCCCGTATTTCCATGGGTGGACTTGAAGGCAGCTCTTTCCTCTTCCTCACTGCTGTAGATTCCTCAGTAGCAATTCTGACCATCTCCTCTCAGAGTCACGAAGCAGCTCCTCCAGGAAGTAAACGCTTTGTCTTTGAGTGTGGTGTTTGTCACCAGTGACAAAGACTTTTCTATGAGGAAAGTCAAAGTGGAGTTTTTGTAAGCAAATCCACTTATCTGTTTAAATCTTCAGAGCCTCCGAAATTCCTACCCATATCCTCCACGCCCCAGCCGGAGAGGCGGCAGCCACCACAGAGACGCCACTCCATCGAGAAGGAGACGCCCACGAACGTGCGGCAGTTCCTGCCCCCGTCCAGGCAGAGCTCCCGCTCTCTTGTGAGTAGCAACAAGGACCCTGACTCCTTAGCTTTTGGTCCAAATGACAAGGACAGTCAGGCGTGGTGCCTGTCTGGCATCCCAGCATCTGTGACGCTGAGGTGGGAGGATTGCAAGTTTCAGCCCAGCCTAGGCAATTTAGGGAGACCCTGTCTCAAAATAGAGAAGTGGGCCAGGGATTTAGCTCAATGGTTCTGCTGCCTGCCTCAAGTGCAAGGTCCTGAGTTCGATCTCCGGTACCAAAAGAAAAAAAAAGAAAGAAAGAAAAGAACTTAGAATGCAGCTCAGTGCAAAGGCCCTGAGTTCCAGAAAAAAAAGATAAGGAGAAAAAAGCTTGTAAAGATTACAGTGAACTTTGAATAACTTCTTAATATCTAAAGAAAGCAGGCTTTGATCAAAACTTGAAACCTTGTTCATTTTGAGTCCTTTTTCCTCTAAATTTGTCAATGGATGCTGAAGACGTGCTTTCTGCCTTTGTATGGATATTAGTCCACTTAAAAGGTGTTAAAAACAGATCAGAAGACTCAAGTGCAGTCAGACTGACGTGGGTGACTTGTACTGCGGCCGAAACACTGGAGAGGGAGGCTCAGGCTCTGGGGTGACTGCTGCTGTGGTCTCCAGTCTTGCGACACTGGCAGCGCTTCGTGGGATGGGCGTGTGGCCCTCCGGGGGAGCTGGGAGGGCACCTCAGCTGCCCGCACTTCATTGCCCACCGGTGCCTGCCGCAGCAGGGTGTCTGGGACACGGACCCTAGGGCTCGCAGGACGCCACAGTAGATGCCGCCCGCGGAGTTGGGCACAGGCACGCTGAGCGCACAGGGAGCTTGGTCAGTCTTCCCCATTTCAGACAACGCAAGTGAACAGTTAGAGACTTGCTAGCCATCCTGTTGCGAGTCCGCAACCCTGCATAGTTTTGGGATGCTGCTGTTCGAGGGGTTCAGCCTTTTGGTGGCTGGCAGAAAAAAGCAAAACCCTGGCCAGACAGGCTCCCACCAAGGGAACAAGCTGTCTCAGTACCAGAGCAGATGTTTATGGTCAAAGTTTAAAGATGTAAGAGGAGTTCCTTTGTGGTTTTTTTCATAAGTCTAAGAATTAGCATCTTCTCTTCCCCCAGCCTTTCCCCGAAGGCAGCCACTCAGTCCCCTCTGGACCTGTGACCGGGCATCATTGCCAGTGTGGATGGAGGAGCCCTCAGGCCAGCCACAGTGTCTGTGTCCTAACAGAGGGGCTGCCAGGACCTCACCGAGGCCCAAGAAGCCTCTGTCCTTACGCACTGCACAAATAGTGTGCCCCGAGTCCTGGGTGGAGAAGGAAGGCAGGCAGGGAGAGTTCGCAGAGTGAAAACAGGGTGGGACACACCAAGGCCGCAGCGAAGGGACTGAGTCTGCACAGAACCTCACAGGCTGGCCTCCGCGTGTCCCTTGCTGGTGGCTCTCCTGGGGTCTGTCTCCTGCCCTGCTAGTGGTGCCCTCCAGCCCAGGAAGCGACATTTGTAAATATGGTAATTGGTTTACAATTCAGCTGCATTTTGTCACCCCTCAAATGAAAATGGCAAGAACATTTTTGTTGTGGATAACATTTCTCTTTCTGTAGGACGTTTCGAGTGTAATTTTCCCATCCCTCGGTCAGACGGCCGTGGGGCCGCGTCCCCACAGATGCTCTGGCCACACGAGGCTCAGGGTTTGCAGGGGCATGGGCGGAGGCTCTGGGCCGGAGCCTGTGCACAGGAGCCTGAAGTCTTGGCTGTGGCTGTGCGGCTGGGCTGCTGGTGGCACCTGGACGCCGTGTCAGCGGGACATCGCTGTGCCATGGCATCTCCGTCTGTGGTTTCTGTTTGTAGGACGCTCGAGTTCAGCGTGACTGTCTGCTCTTCTTTCCCCACCATCTCTCCTGTTGTTCAGGTTCCTAGGACAACCAGTGTATGGCCAAGGACACCTTTCCGACCACTTTTCTCTACCATACACACAGCTTCTCTGCTCGGCTCCCACCCTCTGGAAGCGGCCGTGTTTGGGGTGGCAGGGGCTGTGTATTATCTGTGTGAGAGAGCTTTGGCCAGCAGGTGGAGACCCGCACAGGTTGGCCTCTTTCCGCTGGTTCTGGGACCCTTCCTCGCTGTCTCCTTCTGACAGTGACAGCTGTTGTACTCTGCAAGAATTAACTGCTTCTGGTCAATGATGCCAGTCGTGTGTAGGATGCGTAGATCACGCCATGGATTACTTCCAGAGGGAAATAAATCACTGAAAGGACAACAGACTTAAAATGCAGCATCAGACAGGAGAGCTGTGGGAGTCCACATCTGGCCAGGGACCTTTCCTCCCGGGCCTCCCCACCCTCTGGGAGCTGCTTCCTGTCCGAGCAGCCTCTGTCTGCCTGCCACCCAGTGCCCGTGAAGATGCTACCGGGCCCTTGGCCCACTCCACCATCCCCGCAGACCCCTCCGTGGGCTCAAGGCCTGTGCTCTTCCCAGCACTACCACATGGCTCTGTGATGGTCACGTTGTTGCTTCTCCGTCCAGAGAAACTGTAAAATTTCTTTTTATTAGTGAAGACTTTAAGTAACTTTTGAGATGTCCCTCACGCAGTCGTGTTACTGTCACGCTGTCTCCCCCACTGAGGACCACAGTCTGCCCTGTGAGCTGGGCGCCCAGAGCCCCAGGGCCTTCTCCTGGTCCAGAAGGAGACTCTGCAGAGAGTGCTCTGGCCCTCAGGCCAGGTGCAGGGTGGCATTCATTTAGTATCCATGCCCCGAGCAGAGTGCCACTTGGGGCCCCAGGCCAATGAGAGTTGGTTGCCTCTGAGCTTCAGCTCGGAATGTAACTGAACTTAATAGTAGATGTTTTTATTTAAATTTTCCATCATTTGGTTCATTAAAACCTTGAGAATCAGAGGTTGTTTTGCGTAACTTTCAAAGGTCTGCCTAATCTGTATGGGATTTTTCCAGACCAAGAACATGGTATAAAAGATGTCAGCTCTCATTTACCTCTGTACAGGGACCAGACATTGCGTTCAGCCCTCTACTCTCTGCGCTAACTCCAAACACCCCAGTAGGGTGAAATGTGTTCCAACGGTTCAGTCAGAGCCCAGCTGTGTTAGTGATACATGTGTACAAAAGGCGTGTTGGTCATGGTGGCGCATTGTGTCTTTACTAAAACTCCAAGATCTAGTATCCTTTCCTAAATTTAAAATGGGAAACAGAAAGCAGAGACTCGGGCTGTGCAGGCAGGGAGCCCTGGCCTGAGCACATCTGGGGCAGCAGCCATGACATCACACCAGGTTGCGGTGGGCAGGTCTCAGTCACACCAGACCCTGGCAAGCCTGGGCGGCTGGAATATTAAGTCAACATTTTTGTCAATTGGAAAAATAACTGAAACTGTCCTAGTCACTACTTGCTACTTTATTTGATGTTGCATTCAAGTCTTGTTGTCCTTAGGAAAGCTCCAAAATTAAAACATTAGCATTTGACTTCAGGAAAATTATTTCACTGAAGGGAGTCTTCCTGACATTTTGTAAAAGAATAAGAAAAGAAGGGAACAAAAGTCTTGTGATTTCTCAGGAAGTGCTGGGTCTGCTGATGGCTCGGAACAGGAAGTTGAAGGCCGGCCTGCCTTGGCCTTTCTGGGACTCACGGCTGTGGAAGGCACAGGCTGTGGGCTGGAGGTCTGAAGTTTCCCGGCCCTGAGCAGCAGCGGGGGCTCAGAGATAACGAGGGGGCCACTCCCATGCCTCGCAGGCACAAGGATGCCTCTGGCTTCCTGGCCAGTTGCTAGCGTTAAGCCTAGTGCTGGTGCCTGGGTGCTTGCCGGACCCCAGCCTGATACCACCCAGCTCAGCAGCTCTGTCCTAGCCTTAGCATCAGCAGTGATGACTAAAGAGGTAGCACGAAAATGTCTTCAAGACATTCCTCAACAGTCCACTCGGCCCAAGGCACTCTGTCTTCAGGGCGCGCAGACCCAGCAGAGCTGAACAGCCGTTTGATCCTTTCCCCTAGTGGGAAAGAGAGGGACTGACGGCGACAGGCAACAGCCACTGCTGGCGCAGATGCAGCCCTGCGAGCGAGGCCCGCCCTGACCGCCTCGCGTCCGTCACTGGAGACGCAGGCGCAGGGCTCTGCAGAGCATCGCTAAGCAGATCTGACTGAGGTCCGCGTGGACGTACTTCTTCCTGTCGTTTCAGTAAGAAGCAGCAGTTCATCACACTGCCCTCTTTAGTAAATGCTAATGTTTGCCAAGTTTGCAACCTAGATTTTTGTTTTCTCTGATTGAAAGACAGAACCGAATGTCAGAAGCGCGCAGCCTGACTGGGGCACAGCTGAGTCTTTTCATCGGGCTGGCGCCCATGGGCGCACTGTGTGGGGAGAATCCTGACGCGTCTGTCAGGACATTCAGCTCCAGTGTTACCACCCCATGGGGCCCTGAGGCCTGGCGGCTAGAGGCCGAGGCCGTTCTGTCTTTCTCTTAGATCCCGCTCCAAGCTGGCCGGATGGAGCGCAGGCGGGCGAGGCTCCTGTGCAGAGGGATCAGTGACAGCCACAGGCACAGGCGGCAGCCAGCAGACCTTTCCCGTGACCTCTGCGGGGCCCCTGCACTGCTGGCTGGTGCTCGGCAGCTGTTAAAGTGGGGATGGTGGCCCTGATGGAAGCCCCCGGGCTTGATGCCCCAGCCCTACTGGGCTGTCAGGGTTTTATGGAGTGTGGAAGTCACTGACCCCTCGTAATGCTTATCAGTACCTAGCACTAACCACCCTGCCTGGGCAGCCCTGGGTACCACAGCAGAGCCGGTGTCTCAGGCGTGCGGTCTGGGTGGATTGTGCACAACACTCACATCTGTAGTTGTAAGAGAAAGACCAAAGATTGGCCTAAAACAAAATGATTTCAAAAGTCCAAACACAGGACGCAGCCTGAGATGGAGTAGAACCAGGGGGGACACTAAGCCGACCCACAGAGGAGCCTTCGTGGCCTGGACATTCGGTGTTTCCTGTGGTCCACGTCCTGCTGGCACCGGAGTGGTGTGGTCCCCAGGGGCTGGCTCTATCCCTCTGATTGGGACGCTCTCCTGTCTCTAAGCTACTAACGGTGTCTGCCGCGAGGGAGGCTGCAGTGTGGCCGGGTGGCGTGTGATTGTGACCCCTTCCCTTGCAGGAGGAATTCTGCTACCCAGTGGAGTGCCTGGCACTCACCGTGGAGGAGGTGATGCACATCCGGCAGGTGCTGGTCAAGGCCGAGCTGGAGAAGTACCAGCAGTACAAGGACGTCTACACCGCCCTGAAGAAGGGGAAGGTAGGGCTGCCCGGCAACACGAGGAGACAGGCAGTGGGTGCAGTTGGGGCCCTGGGGCCTGGAGTGAGGGTCACACTGGTGGCCATCTTGAGGGTGGTCCTCCCTGGGAAGCCAGAACCTGGGGCCAGTACAGAGCTGCCACGCCGGCCCCCAGTCGGTAGGCTGGAGAAGGGGCGCGTCTCAGAAGCCCTCCGCTGCTCCCCTGGGGCCAGCTCAGCCCCAGCCGCAGAGGCCAGACGGAGGCAGACTCGACCCTGTCCTCCTTGGGGATGTGGAAGCAGCCGTGAGGCAGGGGGCTGTCGCCTGCTCCTCTTCGCCTCTTAACGTTGTGTTTTTTAGCTCTGTTTCTGCTGCAGAACCCGGAGGTTTTCCTTCTTCACCTGGTCATACACCTGTCAGTTCTGTAAGAGGTGAGTTAGATTCGATGGTCTCCCGCCCACCGCTGTGCGTCCCTGGAGCTTGGTTGGGAAAGCTGATTTCTTCCTAAGTCACCCCACTGCTGTGTTCCTCTTGTAAACCAGGGAACTCTTAATAAGGAATCAGTTGCTTTCAAACAGAAAACGAAGCACAAAGGCGTGGTTCCCTTGTGATCCGTGGGTAGATGAGTAGGGAAACCAGGCAGAGGGTGGCGTTCTCATGGAGGCCACCAGGTGTCTCATTGTGGTGTCGCCTGTGGGCTCTGACGGGAGGGCCCTGGTGGGTGCTGGGGAAAATCTTGCACTTATGCCTCTGCCACACCTGTAATGCATCTGACTTTCTGTGCAGGCCCGTGTGTGCGCAGTGCTGCAAGAAGGTAAGCTGAGCTCAGTGAAGCGGCAGCGGGCATCCTGTGCCTCCTCTGCCCCTTTGTCTGCCTGCTCATACTCAGCTTTCTTTGGTGAACAGATGCGGCTGCCTTCCAAGCCATATTCCACACTCCCGATCTTCTCCTTGGGACCTTCTGCCTTGCAGAGAGGGGACAGCGTGCCGTTGGAGAAGCCCTCTGCTGGCCACCATCGGCCGCTGCGGAGCATTGCCAGGTGGGTGCAGCCAGGTTGAAAGCCCTGGTGAAGCTCCTGCTGGCCCTGAGCTGGAGGCCCCTGGGCCAGGGGGAAGTTGGCACCGGGCTGGGTGCAGCCTCAGACGTGCACGGGAACCGTGAGAACATCCAGAGGCAGCCTTTCAGGTGACAGCTCCTGACTGACAGCACCCCTTAATCATGTGGCTTATTTACTTAGGGAATAACTACCTTACTGTGTCCTTTTAAAGTTACCTATCTTTAAAACTGACCTGTTGGCCGTGGAGTGGAAAGCTTGCATATAACATCTAATCCTCCTTCCCTTCTCTATTTGGAAAGAAAATCTTTCTAATCCTGTGTTTACAAAAGCCTGCAGCAGCTGCGGCTTACTCAGGGTGGGAAGGGCGGCAGTAAAGCTGCTGCAGGAAGACACAGCCCCCAACACAGGGTGCCACCGGCAAGGTCAGTGGCCTGAGGGTGGCAGCTCGGGTGGCGCTGGCCGGGGTGGGGTGTCTGGGGGCAGGTGACCGGAGCCCAGATGCTCTCTGGAGGCACTGCCGTGGTGACCTCTGCTGGGGCTGCTCCGGTCAGCAAGGGATAGCTGCCACTCTTCCCTGTGAACCCTCTGTGAGCTGCTGCCCCCGCGGAGGTCCTGCTGGGTTCATTAAGTAGTCCCAGCAGGCGCTCCCCTCCCTACCTGAGGCCTTCCAAAAACACTTAGCTGACTCCAGCTCTGGAGCCCGACACCCAGTCACACACACACACACACACACACACACACACACACACACACACACACACACACAACACAGGATTTCAGGATGGAGTCCTAAGATAAGGTTTACTCCAGCTTCCTGCAGTCTGACTCAGGGCGCCCGCCCCAATGCTTCTGAATCACCAGCAGGATCTTCGCAACACACGCACATCTCCTAGCTGCATGGTAGCTAGATGAATCCGTTTTCCAGAATTCTAGATGGACACCTTTTCAGTGTTGTATCTTAATCTGATGTCTTTTTGTTTTTGGTTTTGTTTTTGGTACCGGGGATCAAACTAAGGACCCTGCACTTGCAAAGCATGCGGCAGAAGCACTGAGCTAAATCCCTGGCCCAGTCTGGTGTCTTTTTGAAAAATATTTTGAGCTTTGTCTCCACTAAGAAACTCTTCTGCGCCCCCTCAGTACTAGGGATGGAACTCAGGATCTTGCACTTGCCAGGCAGGCACTGTGCTGCTGAGCTACATCCCCGGCACAAGAAATTGTTCTTTGGAGGAACATGACGTGATTAAATCACTTACCCATTCCTCAGCATTTTGGCAACACATAGTTTTTATACAACCTCAGTATGACAGCAAAATAAGCAAGAAACTGAGTGGCTCTGGGGCTTTTCTCCAGGTTCTCCTCAAAGTCTAGGTCTGTGGACACAGTGGATGAGGAGCTCCAATTCCCCAAGGAGCTCATGGAGGACTGGAGCGCCATGGAGGTGTGTGTGGACTGCAAGAAGTTCATCTCTGAGATCATCAGCTCCAGCCGGCGCAGCCTGGTGCTGGCCAACAAGCGAGCCCGGTTGAAGCGGAAGACGCAGTCTTTCTACATGTCCTCTCCGGGCGCAGCAGAGTTCTGTCCCTCAGAGAGGCCCATCAGCGAGGTCTGAGGCTCCACCGCGCTGTCCTCCAGGGGTGACGCGGGACAGCCAGGCAGGAGTGGCCGGTGAGGCTGGTATTGGCGTGTGTGGATGGGAGGCCAGGGGCTGTGTCCTGTGCAGGTTCCCTGCGGCCCCCTGATGTGTCCCTGACCAGGGTGCGAAGCTTCTCAGGTGAGAAGTCAGCCTGCGGCTGCTGTCACACAGCCCGCAGCAGTAAGTCACATTGGCACCCCGCGCAGCAGGGCCCTTCCTGATGCATGCCCGCACCCTGCACCCTCGCTGATACTGCCTGGCCCGCGAGGTCCAGGCCGTGCTCGTGCAGAGCCACTGGCCCCACAGTGTCCCCAGCTGTGCAGGCCAGGCCCTGCCCTGCATGTATTACCACTACTAACTGTGGTGTGGTGCGGCGGCTGGCGTTTGTGGGAGTTCAGGACGACAGACGCGAAGCCTGAGCAGCCGAGAAGCCGTGGCGTGCAGGGCACAAGGGCAAGGAGCCCGAGCACGTGCATCTGCCGTGTGTTTTCATAACTTTATAGTGCAGCTTTCTCAATTAAATCAAGCCACAATTTAGTACCCAAGGTCTCAAACTGAAGTTTATTTTTGTAAGTGAATTTTAAAAGAAAAGATACCTAGCTCTTTTAAAAGTACAAGAAAATTCACCTGCACCTGGCAAGATGTCGGGATCCTCTCTGTGAGCTCCGTCGGCTGTGACCCGAGCAATGAATGACCTGGGTGTCTGGGGAGGTCGTGGGAGTGCAGCTCCTTGCACCCAAGTCCCACTCATGTGACCCGAACTGAAGCACTTGTGAATGTGCAGGACCCAGCCGTGGCCAGCCTGGCCTGCTCAGGCATGGCAGCCGGTCCACACCCGAGACAGGGTCCCATATCCGTGTCAGGTGCCAGCCATACCTCAGAACTGCTCCAGGGTAGTTTTTAATGGGTGGAAATTTGCAACTTAGTAAATGGCTTTAAACCACTTAAGCCTATAAAACAGACTTCACAAGTTGACTAAAACAGTGCACGATAATAGCTCATCTGTATTGCATGTAAAAGTCGGCCGCCAGGACACCCCTACTGACCGTGTTTTGGTCATCTTGAAGACTCTTGTTTAAGAGCTTTGAAAATTACATTGGGCAAGCTCTTGGCTGTAAATTTCCCAAGAGACTATCTGAACTTCACATCCCTTCGTGGCCCAGTCGTGAGCTTCTGATGTGAGGACCAAGGAGAGGACATGGTGTTAGTGTTGACACAAACACTCTAGCTGGGTGTGGTGTGCACCTCTGTGGTGCACACCTGTGATCCCAGCTACCAGGAGGCTGAGACAGGGTTTCAAGTTTTGAGTCTGCAGTGAGACCCTGCCTCAAAGTAAAAAGTGAAAAAAAAATTTTTAATTGAAAGGGCTGGGGATGTAGCTTTTGGAAATATGACCAGTTACTATTCATAGTCCAACAGGAGGCACTCCCCAAAGGAGCACTTCACCCCCGCTCCCAGAGCGGTTGCCAGAAGCCTGGTTTGCTCCTCCACGTCCTTGGGCGTTTGCTACAGTACGGATGCCAGGCTCGGCCACGGCCCTGACCAGGCATGGGGCTTAAGTTCTTCACAGGCAGGAAGTCCACGCACACCGCACCGAGAGGGCAGAGGAGGTGGGGTCAGGGCACGCGGCTGGGTAAATCCTGACTCCTGCAACCCCGGCCCCTTCCCCGCCCGCCCCACATTTCACCCCCTGCAGTGTCAGCCTGCGAGGGTCTTGTGTGCAGTAGTGTCTGAAGTCACCTACGTGGACGCTCAGTGTCGCTGACTTGGCACAGCCGGTCTCAGTCCTTTCCTGTGAAGCCGGAAGGGGTTATATAGGTGTTTGAAATCCTCTGATGTTGAGGAGATGGTGTGATTAGCACATGAACTCACTCTGTGACATTTTAGAGGCTCTTATTTTTCTAACAATGTTAATAAACATGGGGCTTTCCTTAGGTGCCACACAGGAAACTCGAAAAGTTTCGGTTGTGAGGTGTGTGTGTGTGTGTGTGTGTGTGTGTGTAAGCCAGGTGTGGCGGATTTGGGGTGACGCGTCGGTACAGTGTTCTCCGTTAAAGTATTTTATTTTCAGATGTACATGGGGACAAATAAAGGACGTCATCGTACCGCTGTGTGGTGTGCCTGCTCTGCTGTGCCGTTCCTTTGGGTGCCTAGGGTGGGAGGCGGGTCCTTCATGACAGTCACGGGGACACCCTGGCAGCAGAGGTCCCACCACCAAGCCTAGAGCGGCAGAGCAGTGCCACTGTTTCCAACCCCACAAAGTAGGGGTTGAGATTATTTGGAGTATATAATTCATATATGGGGCCGCTTATGTACGGGGAGGTAATGTTGTTAACCACTTAGCAGAGGAATGACAGATACCAGAAACAGTCTGTGCATTCTAAGTGTGCAATTTGATGAGTTTGGGATAAAGCCTTTATTTTCTCTTCTTCCTTCTCCTGCTACTCTCCTCCCCCTCCTTTTTTTTTTTTTTTTTTTTGGTACCAGGGATTGAACTCAGGTCTTTGTGCTTGCAAGGCAGGCGGCGGAACCACTGAGCTAAATCCACAGCCCTCCTCTTCTTTTACATGGGGTCCAGTTCTCTTCCCCAGGCTGGGCCCAAACTCTTGGGTTCAGAGATACACCTGCCTCAGCCTCCTGTACACTAGCACAACTAGCTTTTATGTATACATTTTTCAGTGCATTTTTCAAAGAACATAGACCTCAAACATGAGCTTAGGAAATGTTTTTATGTTAACTAGAATCACATCATTGACTGAATATCTTACACATTACTTGACACTGAGTATGATATCAATTCATTTACACAGCTGTTTCCGGACATTCTTTTTGTGTGTGTGGTACTGGGGATCAAAATCGGGACCTTGTGCTTGGAGGCAGGCGTTGACACCACTGAGCTACATCCCCAGCCCTTTCCTGACATTCTTTAGGAGCACCTCTTACTGATGCTCTGGAAGACGTGGATAGCAAGACCTCTGTATGTGTCTGCCTCGCGGTCCACGCCCGGTCGTCACCTCCTCACTGAGTCTGCCTGCCCAGCTCCCATAGAGGACAAGACACTTGTAAACCACCATGGAGAACTCTTAGGCGCTAGGGGCTCTGGCATTGTTGCACAGTGATTGTGGGCGCACACACCTACAGCACACGTGTGCGGCACGTGAGTGATGATGCTCACAACTCCCTGCTGCTCTTCCCCTCATGTGAGCCGCAGTCCTTATCCAGCAGTATCTTTGCCCAGGAAGAAAAGCCCAAGAGCTAAGAGCCTGCTTTAATCCAGAACTGTCTGAGTAGCCAAGTTTCAGACGCAGGTCACACTGAGTTCGTACGGCCACATCACGAGAACGCAGAAGTGTGTCAGAATGCAGAGCACGCTCACTGCCAAAGACCCTGCGGCTCTGCCCTGGGCCAGAAGAGCAGAGGACGGAGAGGCTAAGAAGCCACAGTGAGAACCTGTGGAAGGGCACAGGCGCAAGGGTTCCTTGTCCCTGCTGGGTGGTGACACCCTCCACTGACGACCACCACACTGGTGCTGCCCCAGCAGGGTGTCCTCAGCTGCTGCTTCGAGTTGGTGCCGGGACTGGCGGGGCCACTTCCGGGGCGTGGCCGGCGAGGAGGCCCTGCGGGCTCAGCAGTCCCGTCTCCCTGGCCTGCCACCGAGCAGGTGAAAGCAGAGACCCGAGCTGGACAGGCGCACAGCTCGAGGCAGGGGTGGGGTCAGCACCAGGCTGTGGGGAAGCAGACAAAGGCACACCCTAGAGGAGAGGACGCCTGGAGCGGCCCGGCCCTCAAAAGAGCCCAGCCGAGGGGGACCCAGGGTCAGCTGCACCCAGGCTGTGCGCAGAGCAGTGGCATGGACAAAATGCACACTGGGACGGCTCTTCCTGGTGCTGGGCTCACCACCCACCCGCCACGTCTGTCCCAAGGCCAAGCTGTGTTTCTCTGGGTTGCGGACAGACCTGCTTACAAACAAGATGCAGTGTGGGAGGAAGGAGAGGGGGAAAATGTGTTACGTTGATCTGCAACAGGGCAGAGGCAAACTCAGTTCTGATTGGCTATAAAGAACTGGAGTCACCTCTTAAACAAGTCAGAAAGGAGTGGACAAAGAAGCTCCTTTGCTGGCTGTGTCAGCGGCGGGACACCACGCGGCTCTCGGTGCCACAGCGTGCCCTTCCTGAGGGGATGTGGGGAGAATGGCCACACGGGACAGGCCATCGTAGCTATTCCAACTGTGGGACAGCTGTCCTGGCCCAGCTCTGTGCAGCATCGGTGTGCGTGTGCGGTGGCCGGCCGGAAGTCCTGCTCTCGCCCTTGGAGCTGCACTCCGTGCCTTCTGCCACCCTGGGCCTCTGTGCTGACCTCGTCGACAACCCTTGGCACAACCACGACTGGGCCAGCCTTGCTCTCACACAGCGCCCAGTGAGCCCTCATCCTCACCACTCCGAGCCTACCGTGGGCCTGTGCCATGGAACAGGCACAGCACTCAGGGCCTGAGTGACAGCAGGTTCTGCAGGAAATGAGGACAAGTGAGACTGATGGCCCATGGTGGCGTTGTCAGGACACTGGCATGGGCTGCCTGCTCCAACAGATGATGCTGCACGTCCCGCAGCCCGGCCACCCGGCACAGGAGCGGCCTTGCAGGAGCAGGAGAGGAGAAGGTGGACCTCAGCTCCGGGTCCAGAAACCCTGCTGCAGCCTCCTGTGGGCCAACACCACCCTTCCGGCCTCTGCCTGCCACAGGACACACGTGTGGCCCTGGGACCATCACGGAAGCTGCTGCTGGGCGCGAAGGGCCTGCTTCTCAGGGCCAGGTTCATCATGTGGTCTTGCTGCCTGCCTCTTTTATATCATTGCTGACTTACTAGTAAGCACAAAAGTCCGATGTTAAACGTTAAGCCACTTGAGCAGAAATAAATATTTCAAATTTGTCCTGTTAAGATAATTTGGCCTTGCTGGGCATGGTGGTGCACGCCTGTAATCCCAGCACTAGGGAGGCTGAGGCAGGAGGATCACTGTGAGTTTGAGACCAGCCTGGGCTACACAGTGAGTTCCAGGTCAGTCTCAACTACATGGTGAGACCCTGTGTCAAAAAACCAAAAATAAATAATTTGGCCAAGAAGCCAAGGAAATCATGAAATTACACTTTATGGTAGTACTCTGCTGATTATGTGTCTATTAATATACAATTTTTTTTTCTTTTTTTGTTTTTGCTTTGAGACAGGGATCTCACTATGCTGCCCAGGCTGGTTTCAAATTCCTGCACAAGTGATTCCCTGCCTCAGCCTCCTGAAGCTGGGACTACAGGTGTGTGGTTGTGCCTGGCTAATTTTAAAAATGTCAGTGTTGGGGCGTAGTTCGGGGCTAGAATGTGGGCTCAGCACTTTGCCTAGCCCTGGGACCTGGGCTCACTTGTTTCTCCTGAGCACTTCCTGCTTTCACTTTCTTTGGGGTCCGCTGCGCCGGAGAGCTGCAACCTGGCCTGGCACTCGCGGCAGCTGCGACCTTGCCAGTGTCTGTGGCCTCTCATCTTTCCCACAGCAAGGCCGTCCTCACCTAGGGGCAGATACACAGGGCTCCCAGACCTCGTGGCCAGTGGGTCAGATGTGTGTGGAACAGTGGGCAGGGCCACCCAGGCACCATCCTCCAACAGAGTGGGGACAGGCCATCTGGGAGCAGAGTTCCGTGGACGGGGAGGGCAGCGTCAGTCAGCTCTGACAGCGCTGTTCGCAGCAACGCAGTAGTGCAGGAAGGCTGGGCACAGGCAGCTATACCGTGAGCGTTCACCAGTGGGTTCTCTGGGCTCCGGGAGTTGGGCAGCGTCCCCCGGGGGAGACATCGATGGGCTGTGGTGGCCTCACACCCAACAGTGGACCCTGCAGGCCTCTCTGGGCCCGTGTCCCCACCATGCGGCAGCAAGGTCCTCGCCCCAGCACCACCCACGCAGGACCACACAGGCCAGCCCTGCACCCAAGTGATGTCAGGCAGCAGCCACTGCGGGAGCCCAGCACCCATGCAGTGGGCAGTGAAGGACAGCTGGGCTGAGCCGCTGGCAGATCAGGTCGCAAGGCTCTGGCAGCAGCTGCGGGACTGGGTGTGGGGACAGGTCACATTTGAAAAAATGTAGGAAGGGAAGCCGTTGGCCCAGAAGACGTGCGCTGCTTTATGTGAGCAAGGCTGCACAGGGCCCCTGTAAGGCGTCAGCAGCACCATCTGTGAAGGCCAGGCCCAGGGCCCGGAGGGCCTCCCACCTCTCCTGCACTGCAGGGCTCCATCTGAATCTCCCTTCTGCTCCTGGGGACTGAGGTGAGGGTGTTCCGGGGAAGACCGATGCTGCAAGCCCCCCGCCACCAGCCTGTGCCATCCAAGGGGAGGCGGAGTCGGAGGCAAACTCGCCTGATGACCCCAAGATGAGCACGAAGTTTCCGTCCCTAAAGCCTGCTCAGGGCCATGGCTTTCCTGACAGGCAGGGAGCTGGACACTGCAAGGCCCAGGACGGCCGAGGGCTGGCAGCCTCACAGGACAGGTAGATCTCCAGCGACACCTGCCATCGCCTGCTCGGCACGAGGCCCACACTGCCTGGCGTGTGCTCCCACGAGACCCAGGCCAGAAGCAAAAGGCAACGCCGGGACTGTAGAGTCCAGGGATTCCCAAGTGCGTGCACAGACACAAACACACACACACAATCCCCACCCCAGGCACAGGTTCCACAGCCTGACTCAGCCAACTCCAGATCAAGAATACGTGGACCAAAATAATTCCGTCTCTGCTGAGCACACACAGACCTTTATTAATTCCCTAAACAGCACAGTACAGCTATGTACATGGCACTGAGACTGGGTCAGGGTTTAGGAGTAGCCTGGAGACAGTCTCCGAGGCCCTGGGACACTAGGGGGCGCCCATGCACCAAACAGCCTAGGGCCTGTGACACTACGGTGTCAGAATTCTATTTCTGGGCTCATTTCTCCTGAAGAAACAGCTGGTGAAGTGCAGGCATTAAGAAGGAAAAATCCCACAGCACATTCCCACACTACGATGGGTCAGGTACTTTGTTTCTTGTTACACGTGCGGTTAAAATCTGTACCCTGAAGTGGCCCGTGGCAGATCGCAGCTCTGGGAAAACAGAAGTCAGCTGTGGCGAAGGTGATACCGCCGCCGGCCACGGCACAGCCCGTGTGGTGTCACCACCTGAGCCTCAGCTGGATCAGAACCGAGGGCCCATGTACTTGGAGCGGGCCCCTGAAACCCGCAGGCTGACACTTGGAGAGCGGCAGGGCTCCACTTCACCCCAGCCCCGTCCAGCAGGGAAAGCGGTCGCTGGCCAGGCCCACCTCAAGGTGGCTGCCTGCTTCTGGGCCCTGCTGGACGGCTCTGGGGAACACAGCTCCTGCTGGGAGACAACACCCTGCTTGGCCCAAAAGGACGGAGCCCCACACGTGTCACTGTGGCTGCAACATGGCCTTTGATGTCCCCTGCAGCTCACAACTGGCACTCGTGCTCTGCACTGTGGCCGCCCTGATTCAGGCAGCCGATGGCTGCTCCCGGGCCTCCATCAGCTGGGAACAGGGCCCTGCAGCCCCCACAGGAGCCCCTCAGGGTGCTCTGTCCCGGGACCTCGTGAACAGTGACAGTGACGGAAGCGTAGTGTTTAAAGACCATGGACTTCTCAGGTAGTGTTTTAAAGGGTCCCTCTTTGAATAATTATTCAGAGCACAGGCTTTAACTTAGACTCTGTCATCAATGTAATGTGAAATCTTTTTTTAAAAACCCGGAGTGTTTGATAAGCATTCAGTGCCACTTCTTGCCGTCACTTGGAACCTGTTAAAGTGGAAATGGCTCAGAAAGCAAACTTGACACCTTGGTGGGTACGGAGCGCTGCGTTCAGGTCGGGTCACCTCTGCTGAAGGAGAGCCGCGTCGCCCCCTAAAGGCAAAGTGCTTGTTAGGCGTCGCCTCTGTACCTTGGGTTTACTTTTACAGTTGCACTCGTTCACCTACCAGTGTGTAGAAAATCCTACATTTGGGATGCTTTTTTCTATAATAAAATATTATCATTTGTGAAAATTATTAAAGATCATGGAATAGCAATGGACTATTAAACCCGACTCCTGACTACTTTTCAGACCAGAACTTGAGGATAGCCTTCTTCCCTGCTATTTTCCCACACATTTACTTCTGCGCTTATGACTTTAAAATTGACATAGTTGTAAAGAGAAATGCTAAATCCATTTCCAAACAACATGGAATTTACAGCCAAACATTACCAGGCATGGTAGCACAAGACTGCAATTGCAGCACTCTGGGAGGCTGGGGCAGGAGAATCCCAAATTCAAGCCCAGTCTGGGCAACTTAGTGACTTTAATGAGACTCTATCTCAAAAAAAAAAAAAATTACTAACAAGGGCTAGAGACATGGCTCAATACAAAGGCCCTGGGTTTAGTCCCCAGTACTATAAAAACTATACATTCCTGCATCCTAAATGACCACCTCAAGACAAAAAAATTTTTTTGTTTTTTTCTTGGGGGGTGGGTACCAGGGATCAAACTCAGGACCTTGCACTTGCAGGTGATGGCACCACTGAGCTAAATCCCCAGCCCTCAAGACAAAATTTTAACTTGCAGCAGAAAGCACAGCAGGCAGGGGCTTATTTTCACCCTACCTCAGCCATCAAGGGTTTGAATGGCCAGTGACCGACAATGCGCCTGCCGCCCTGGCGAGGGTCGGGGCCTCTGGGCCCATCCCGCTCAGTCTGCCCTGACAGAGGGTGGCGGGGTCCTCTCGTCCTCGGGCCCACCTCAGTGATACGTTCGTGCCAGAAGCAGCCCTGGCTGGGGTCTGCCCGTGGGAGGCGGGGACAGTGGAGTCCTGAAGATCGGGTCCTGAACAGGACCACAGGGCAACAGGAGAGGCCCTGGGGGACACAGGTGAAGGCATTTGCAGCCCGTCCGGCACAGGCTCGGAGCCCAGAGCAGATGCGGGTGCCTCCCTCGTTCCCCAGCAGCCTCCTGCCACATCCTCACCCCCTGGCAGTGGCCTGAGTACTACAGACAGAGGCCTGTGGGTTGCTCTCCTGGACAGGCAGACCCGGTGGCCTTGTTACCTTCCTTCCTGTCCCTTTCCTCTTCCTGCACCTCCCTTCCTTCTCTACTCGTCGGTGCGGATCTGGTTAAAGACGGAGGCAGGTCAGCGCTGGTTAGCACAGCGAACCCCAGGGATCTTGGCTCACAGGTGACACCGTGACACACGCTTGTGCACACACACCAGCCCCAGCCCCCAGAGCTCCAACTGTGCGCACGGGGCCTGGGCAGGCCGGGCTCTGGAGATCTGGGAACCACTGCCTCAGCAGCCTGGGCAACACCAGTGACTTCTTCCAGCTGCCTGGAGCCCACAGCAAGCTGACTATGGGGACAGATGGACAGACAGATGGAGGGACAGGGAACAGTGAGCGAGAAGCAGAGCTCAGCAGGGCCAGGAGCCGCAGGGAGGCGAGGCAGCACCTGAGCAGAGGCAGCGGCACCGGCCAGGCCCGGGCAGCCACTGCGTTACCTCACCCTCAGCCCAGCATGGCTGCGGAAGCTGGGGGCACAGAGGGCGGTGCCAGGGCTGAGCACGGCCCAGCGAAGGAGGGAACTTTCCCTGAGGGCACTGCGGGGCTGGGGCACAGCTCAGGTGGCACTGAGGCTCCAGTCCCATCCCAGTGCTTCGAGAAAGTCCATCCACCTGTGCATGGAAGGTCCCTCCCTCGCAGGCTGGGCACAAGCATGGTGACATCCAGCAGCCCAGGCCAAGGCGTCCCGACACCACACACTGCTGCTCACACTGGGTCTCTACCAGGCACACGGTGTCCAGGGGCCGTAGGGACCCAGTCACAGGCGCGTCCTTAGCTCACGGTGCTGTCGGAGTGCTGGATGACCCACTCGATGGCAGCCCAGCCCTGCAGTGACACAGGAAAGGACAGCGAGGCCCTGACCCCCGGAAACCTGACCTGCCGAAAGCCAGCCCCTCACCAAGACAGGCCCGCGGTGGAAGCCAGCGCCAGACCCACGCCAGGCTGCTGAGCAGAGGTGATGAGGCCAGGACGCCGCCATCCCCAGCACCTCCCAGCACATGCGCCCTGACAGCGGCAAGGGTGATGCCGGCCACAGAGCCGGGAGGGCAGGGCCACTGCAGCCCCTCGGGAGGCAGAGTATGGACAGCCACGGGCTCCGAGGGCTCCACCCTGGCTTCTTCTAAGGCCTTGGGGGTGTCGGCCTCAGGCTCCCCTCGGCTCTGCCCGGAGCTGAGCTGACCGCCGGGGAGGAAGGAGGAGGGGACCCAGTCTCCTCGAGGTCACAGCCACCCACCAAGAGCGAGCTGCTCCCAGGCCTGGCTGTGGGGGTGGGCAGGCTGGCAGCAGTGCCCACCGTGGAGGGGGCACCGTGGGGGGCACGGTGAGGGAGGGGCCCCGAAGGCGGAGCGACCCAACGCCCAGGCCCAGGCCCAGGGCAGCAGCCTTCCCCCTTCTGCACCTCTGCAGCCCTTCCTGACAGTGCTGCTGTCGCTGTGGGGCTGGGAACACTGCAGCCTGAGGGGCCGCGCACTGGGGGAGGGGCACAGGGACTGAGCTCGCCATAAAGCACTGGGTGCAGCCGCAGCACACCTTCCTGGCGTTGGATGAGATGGTGCTGGCCATGAGGCTCTCCAGGTAGCGGCCGAGGCCTGTGCCCTCCACAGAGATGACGGCCTCCTGTGTGAGCACCGTCCTGTGAGAGGACAGAAGTCAGGGCCGGCCGCCCATGAAGGCAGCCCTGGGCCCCTCCCACGCCACCCAGGCCAGGACTCACTTCTCGGGGTGTTCTGGGTGCGGGGCGTACACCAGCCTCTCGTTCACTGACACCAGGTTCCGCAGTGTGATCTTCAGAGAAAGAAACGGGGCTTCAGGTTCCGCACCTCCTGCCCGGCTCCCTGAGGCCCTGCCTGGACATCTGCACCCCACATCAGCTCTCAGCAGGGCATGGAGACCGAGTCGGGCAGTGGGGCCATGGGGCACCCTGGGGACCCAGCAGGGCCCAGCCGTCCGTGTGACACGCATCCAGCCACCAGTGCACGAGACTGTTGTCCTGGCTGGATTCCTATACTCTCCTACACATTTACCACACTAGGATAAAAGAACAGAATACTGGGAAATGGGCTCAGTCCTCCCACTAAGAACAGTCACGCACAGCGAGGGCAGGTAGAGATGAACTAAGAGGCCCGGCTGCCGCTTACATTGGTAGAGCAAAGCTCCATTTTCTTCTCCAAGGGGTCCACCACAGAGCGCTCTTTGATATACGTTAGGGTCCTACTGGTTCCCAAAATCTAAAATCAAAGCAGGCACAGTAACATGTTCAAGGTTCAGTTTCCCATTCACTGATCCAACAAATGGTACATCTGGAGACACAGACAGTCTCTGGGTGGCTTCTGTCCCAGTAGGTGAGAGACGCAGGAAGTGAATTCGGAGTTGACTGTGTGACACAGTTAATGCTTGGACCAAAACCAAAATGGGCTCAGGGCAAGGGCCCCAGTGCTAGGCAGACACCGGGCGAGCTCTGGGCAGCATCGGGCTGCAGGGACACAGTTCCAGGACACCCCTCACCAGCAGCTTGGGGAAGAGGCTATTATGGGGGCCTGTATCCCCCAAATGCTTGTGTGGACACCTCCACCCCCAGTACCTCCGAATGTGACTGATTTGGACACCAGCCTTAACAGCGGCCACTGAGGAGAGACACCACCCGGGACGCATGTCCTCCAAGGGGTCACCAGGAGGTGCAGGGGAGGGTGTCCTAGAGCCGCAGAGGCCCAAGAAGGCCACAGCCAAACAGGAACAGGAACCAGCCCTACACAGAGCACCTGGCCCCTGGGGTCTTGTCAGCAGGAAGATGGACAGAGGCTGGGTCAGCAAGAGGGGCAGGAGCCAGCACTGCAGAGCCAGAAGGCAGACGACCACGGGGAGGGACGGGCACGACGGTGGGGGACGCTGCCTCACCGTGGTGACCAGGCCAGGCAGCCCCCACTCGGTGCTCAGCAGACGCAGGCTGTGCAGCCGCCCCCGGCAGTCCACGGCGCGCTCCAGGACGTCTACACCCACCACGCTGGGGTTCATGGGATTTGGGTATTTCCTCATAGCAGCCTTGATCACCGTGTCCCACGGGTGGCTGTGGAAAAGCAAGTGCAGGAAGTGTGGAGTCCAGGAGGCGCCCCTCTGCCCTCCCCTCCTCTGGGCCCTGCCCATCCCCAGAGGCGAAGGCCTGTGTTGCTCCACGGGACAGGAGCCCGGACAAGCGGCGGTGAACCGGGCGGACCTGACTTTCCGCAGGGCTCGTGGTCCCTGCTGAGCATGGGGACAGAACAGCACAGTCACCTTGCCACCAGGCACAGAGCAGGCCTCCACCCCAGCCACCTGCACAGCCGAGAGCACCTGCTTGACATCCCAAGGCTCTCAGCGCCTCAGGGGAGAAAGGACCAGGGAGGTTCATGTGTTTAGGATGCAGCAGCTCCGTGAGGGCCGGGACCCCACTGCAGGTGGGGAGCACCTGTACTTGGTTCTCATTTCTAAACGTGCACAACTTAAACGGCCACATTTTTAGATTATAAAAACATATTCAAGGTTTAGAAAAACACACACGAAAACATTTAGAGGCCTTAAGTCCACTTCCCACTTAACTCTGTCAGCAGCCAGGCAGGCACGTAGCACTCACATCCACACCAACACCACCCTGACTCCTTGGCACTGAGGATGGCCCGGCCGCGAGCAGGGCCGCACAGGTCGCTAGCTCCCGGTGCCCACCTGCCTGTGCTACCCAGGCTGCCGCATCCCTGGCCATCCATGCGGCCCCCAGGCTTCCTGCAGGACGCCCCTCCTGCAGCACAGCCCTGGGCGAGGGTTCAGCACCTCCCCGCTCACCTCCTGCCACTGCAGAGCCCAAGCCGGGACAGCCTGTGCTCAGTGCGCCCGAGACCTAAGGCTGAGACCCACTGTGGGAGTCGGGCCACCACAGTGGGTTCACCTGTGACCCTCAGGCCACCCAGGGTACCAGCAAGTCCCCTGGAGTCCTACCCTTGAGTGCTCTGCATAAGACCTCTACCCAGAAGCCTGTGAGCCCCACTGCGCACAACGCGTCTTCTCTCCACCGCTCCCAGACGATGGTGAACAGCAGGTGTAGATGAGCCTGGACCCAAGGCCTGGACACACACACAGTACACAAGTGCACACAAAGTACACACACGCACTACAAAAAGTACCTGAGATCACACTCAATAATGGGCTTATTGTCCACTTTTTATAACAGATAGACACTTACTTACATCATGAAGCCATTTTCAAAAACATGACTCCAAATAGCTATAGCAGGTAATCCTGTGGATGTTTAACCAGGTCCTTACAATAACTTACCCAACTGTCACCGGTTACAGACGTTGGTACCAGGAGTGGGGTTGGTATTATGAGTACCGAACCACAACGTCTAGAAGCCTTTGAACTGGCTCATGGGAGGAGTTCTGAAAGGTTTGAAGAACCTTTCAAAGGTTCAGTGGTTATAGAAGCCCAAGAGTGCTGAGTTTGACAAGTGACACTGGTCAGAGCTGAGAAGACGAGCATGCTAACCACTCCATTTGGAGTCAGGATTTACCCCCAAAACCAAAGCGATGCACTGCAAAACACTGAGCACACGAGCCAGTCATGGTGGCGCACGACTGTAATCCCAGCACTCTGGAGGCTGAGGCAGGAGGATCGCTGTGAGTTCGAGACCAGCCTGGGCTACAAAGTGAGTTCCAGGTCAGTCTCAACTACATAGTGAGACCCTGTCTCAAAAAACCAAAAACCAAAAAACAAACAAACAAAAAAAACAAAAAACACTGAGCACAGCAGTGGGTCAGGGAATCTGATGTCTACTGATCCAGACATCATCTGTTTGTTAAAAAGTGCCACTCTTCTCACTCTGCCTTTGGGAAATACAGTTTTTATTGTTTTTCAAATGTTATGTTAATGTCACAGGTTTATTACTACTAATGTCAGTGGACAAGTACTTAAAATTTTTGTTTCAACTGTGGCTGAGCACAGAGGTGCACAACTGTAATCCCAGCTACCTGGGAGGCTGAGGAAGAAGGATCAGAAGTTCAAGGACAGTCTGGGCAATTTTGCAAGACCCTTCTCAAAATAAATTTTTAAAGGGCTGGAGACATGGCTCAGTGGTACACTGCTTGTCTGGCATGCATGAGGACGTGGGCTCAATCCCCAGCACACACACAAATTAAAGTGTGTCTTAGTTACCACAATACCTGACACCTACAACGTAAAGGAGGTTTATTTTGGCTCACAGTTTCAGAAGTTTCAGTCCATGGTCAGCTGGCTCACACAAAGAAACAGTATGGTGGACAAGGCCTGGGCAGAGAAGAGCCATGCATCTCACGTGGCCAGGGAGAGAGGAAGAGGAGGAAAGGAGACCCCTTCCAGGTCGCTCCGTGGTGACCACCAGTCCTACCTCCTCCCAGCACACCGAGCCCCCCCGGTGGTTGGTCCACTGACAGGGACAGTACCCACGCTCCAGTCACCTTTCACAAATCCCACCTCTGAGTGTGAGAGGTTTTGGGGACCGAGATCCAAACCCCAGCTGACTGTGATGTGTAACACAGCAGGTGCTAACAGAATCCACACAGACAAACCTGTTCGGTCCCACATTCTCCAAGAGAGGAAAGTGATCCCGAACGGCCTGAGACCTGCTGGCCCACAAGGGCCATGGTTGAGTGGACAAAAACACAACAGGGCTGGCCACTGCTGAGTGCTGTGTCAGGGGATGCTTCATGTCCCACGGGTGACAAGGACAGCTGTGGCATGTGCACACGGTGGGATGCCTACGCTTGTACTGAGACCTAACCACCCCAGTATGCACGGATCTCACAGCATGCTGCTGAGAAGAGGGAAAGGGCCCAGTGGGTGTCCAGGGTGGCGCCACTGATGTGTGCACCAGGGGATCCACACAGATGCAGGCAGCAGCTGCTGGCACCCAGATCTTGGAGAGGACGTCGGCAAATTCATCATCCTGGCTGCCTCCAGGAAGAAGGGGGCTGCGGGGAGGGGAGGGCACAGCAGGCACCCAGCTCTGCCCCAAGGTTCCGGTCCTCTGTGCTCCTGCCCAGAAGCTGCCTCCTGCCACCTCCCGGGGCCCAGGGATGTACCCCGAGTGCCCAGGGCAGATGACTGGAGGGGGGCACACGGTGCTGCAGATGAGCATAAAGGTCTCTGGGGTCAAGGAAATGTCCTAAACCTGGGCTATGGCCACAGCTGCACAATTATCTAAAAACGTGAACCCCAAAACTTATTCTACGTGCACTCTGTCCCTAGAGTTGAGGATTGGCCTAGGGCCTCCACACGGAAGCTACACCCCATTCATTCACACACTCATTCATAGCCAGGGTCTCCTAATTAAGTTGCCCGGGTTTGGGTGCTCCTGCCTCAGCCTCCCAGAAAGCTGAGATTATAGGCCTGTGCTCGGATGAGATGGAGGCTTTGAAACGGTGATTCACCCGACAGGAGCTGAGGACCAGTAAGGGTGGACCTCAATAAAACTAAAAATAACCGGGTCAGCGGCGGCAAGAGGGTCCCGGGGCTTCCTGCACACCCGCAGGCCCTGGGGTTTGAGCGCTGGCTGATGCCTTTATAACCATTCCAAATTTTTTAAAGCCAAAGTACGACAACTCCACTTCACGCAGGTTTTTCGCCAGGACGAAAGAATCTGAAAATCCGAGCTCCTCAAAAGGCCCTGCGGGAATCCGGGCCCGCATTCGGGGCGCAGGTCCCAGGTTCCAGGTCCCACGCGGGCACTTCGCGCACGCGGCCCAGAAAGCACCCGGCCGGTTCCCGCTTGGGATACCCATGCGCGAGCACGCGCCCGGAACCGC